CCAAGTCCTCAGCTGTTGATTTTGGAAATAACAATTGATGATAGTGATGGTTTTCTGATGCAAAGAACGGAGTTGAAGGATAGTCAGGCAAGATGGTAAGATCTTATGAGAATCAAGACAACAGATGGGTGTACAACAAATCCAACGCCTCCAACGTTCTGTGATGGAACTTTTTACTGATAGCACAAGTGTGAAACAAGACTATGAAGCAGAGGAGAAGCAGCAAACATCGAGAGCAAGCAGGCTGCGGCAATATTTCTCTATGAGTGAATATTATGAGAGTCTAGAGAAATGACGATGCAGCATCGTTACTCAGTTTGTATGTGTGAGTGTTGTGTTTTTCTGGCTGTCACGAAATCAAATCAGTTTTACTAAGAAAGTAGAAGATAGTTATCAGTTGTTATTATGTCAGCTGTAGAACAATAAGAAACATGAGCAATTTGGTCGTGAAAACGTGATAAGTTGGTTGTTCATTTCGTGATAAGGTAGGCACAGCGGTGGGATCAAATAGCCTTTCTGCCCTTTTTTGGGGCGCTAAAAGGTGAGATTGTGATGGTTTTTAACTAAAAGAACTTTTTTTTTTGCTAGTGTTGAAAATTCCAAGAAGTTTGATTCATTCATACATGAACAGTGTCAATTACTGCAGATTATTCCTTAAACCAGAAGCGGTGTCCTTGACTCATTTGGTAAATAAAAATGAAAATAGAAAAAGAATCCTATTCTCAAATTTGAAAACAATTATTAAGAAAGCATATTTGCGATATTCGACCTAAAACAAACTATCACATCTATTTCAAATCCTAGTCTTTAGCGTCCTCCTCGAACTCCTTGCGCAAATTCCGCTGAACTTCCCGTCTCCTCTTGGCTTTTAATTCTTTTTCCCGCTGCAATCGCTTGTACTGCTCTTCGTAGCAATTTTCTCCATTTAAATGTCGATCTAGTGCGAATTTAAGCCTCTCAAAGGCTATGTCGATGTTCTTCGGTAAAAGACGCGATTCGTGAACCTGAAAAGCGCGTTTTATGTAAGTTGTCAGTGAGAAAGTTTTGATATGATCCACCTTCACAACGAGACCCGTAGGAATATGACGTAATTGAACAGCATTCTGAGCAGTGTTCACCTTTTGTCCACCAGGGCCCCACCCAGAGATGTACTTCTATGAGGAATCACTCAAGAACTTTCTTCATAGTTATGATTT